TAAAGGTTGGGGAAAGCCCAAGGTGAGGATGGCCTTACTGGGACTAGTTTCCCAGACAGTCTGACCAAATTTCTGATTGCAAAAGGTAGACGAGTGAATAGGAGATAAAATAAAAATTATAAACAATTAGTGTAGACGATTCTTCTAAGAAGTTCTGCAGTGAAAGGAAGGGGTTGATTTTGATATTCGATGGGAAAGGTTTTTTTGTTTTAGAGGTGTGATTTGTTAGGAGGTAGAGGAATCAACCACAGAAAGGGAGCAGGAAAGAAATGAGAGAATTGAGTCAGTGACAAAGTAGAATTTGATAAGGAATCAGGTGGAAATAGGGCCCAGAGACAAGCTAAGGCGATACTCTCAGAAAGGCCAGATATACGCCTGCAGACATGAGAGAAGGAAGTCAGGATGCATGGAAATAATTATGTTTATAGGTAGAAAGATGGGGATGTTCGTGCTTCTGGCCTCAGTCAGGAGTCTGGGCACGTCAGCCTTCTCTGGTATCTGGGGCAGCACGGCCCGCCAGGCACAGCACTGGAGGTGTCTGCGTTGGTGAACAGTGGAGGAAGACAGTCCTTAGAACTCTAAGTTTCAGCAGACGAAGATACCTTCTCTTCCTGGGTAATAAATACCCGGCTGCTGGGTGGCCCGTTCAGTTCAGTTTATGAAAGCATTCTTTGAAGTGCCTACCCTGTGGTAGGTCCTGGAAATTCAAAGATTTTTAAGACAGCTTCTGCCTTAGAGGAGCTCATCTTTTTCTCCAGTAGTTTAGTAGCTCTTGGTGGGCTTCTTATGTTTACAACATTATCCACTTTGGATAATAACATGGCACATTTTTACTCTATAGTTAATTTTCTGTACTGATTGTGGATAAGAGCTGAAGTAATGCAACTGTGTCAAGCATTTAAACTAATTTATAAAGTAATTTAATTCCAAACATACACTTGAAAAATAGAAAATCTTTTATTGTCCAAGCAATATGTGCTGGGTGATGTATAGTCACACCATCACCATGATATTTAAGACTGCGTGCTAAAAGGCTAAGTCTTGTTCCCCACGTCTCTCCCTGAGCTCATGGCTGCATGTGCACCATCCACTTCTGAATGTGGCCATATTTACATGTCTGAAATTGTAACTTTTCTTTTTTTAACATGAGTGGATAATACTAACTGTATTGCTTAACTTGCTCTTTGTATTTAACAGTAATTAAGTCTTGGGATTATTTCTTTGTAGGTATGGTAGGTCTATGGCTGCATAAATGTTTCATAAGATGGAGGTACAATAATTTATGTAACTATTCCCCTAATTATGGATGTTAAGTTGTTAACTTATTTTTCTCCTGCCATTTTCACAGTTATAAATGTGCAAGTATTTCTTTAGAATATATTCTTAGTATTGAAATTTGTGGGAGCTGCAAATGTGTGACAGATTCTGTGAAATTGCCCTCCAAAAAGCCTTGCACACTTTGCTCTCTGTCTAAGTGCCTGTTCCCCACCCTTGCAGCAAACAGCAGATTCGTGTATTGGGAATCTTTTAAATCCTAGTTATGCTGATGGAAGAGGTACCAAATTTCATGATTGCTTGAATTTTTCTAGCTCCCAAAATAGGGCCTTTGAAGCAACACATACAAACCAAAAGCATTAAAATAAAGTTTTTAGTAACCTTTACGGTATGCCTTTCAGAAGCCTATCTTTTCACCATAGTTTAGTGTTTGTGAAAGTCGTGTAAGACACAGTACTTAAAATTGAATTTTAAAATACTTAAAATTGAGTTTAAAAACACTTAAAATTTATCATTTATCTATGTCCATTTTCTTTATATTGGTTCCCTTTGGCATGGACTATGGAAGGCTAACTCCTTTATTTTAATTAGAGTTAATTTAATTCTTCTAAATTCTATTCTAAAGTACATACCTTTATACACAGTCTTTCCCTTTCCTACTTCCCCTTCCATGCAAAGTGACTAAAACATTCTCATTTGAAAAGCATTATTTTTTAGTTAAAATTTTCTATTTAAAAATATGTGTGTGTGTGTTTTAAAATCTCAAATAAGTAAACCAATCAGATTTCCTGAGCATCTACTAAGTATCTCATTTGCTTTTTCCCCTTGCAGTACATGCCTACTTTTCTGTTTTAAGATAGCTGCACTAACTCAGATTCTTCCTCTGAGCACCCTCTCCATCCTGTGCTGAGTAATCGTTCTCACTTTCAACTTTTCAAAGGTTTTATCTATTTTCTTTGCATTCACCACAAATTTGGGAATTTTTGTTGTTGTTCATCTGGCCCTGATTAGATTTTCCCCTAAAATTCTTAACTATACTATCAATGAGAAAGTCCCCCACAGCCAACAGAGCTAAAGCCTCAATGTGGAAAAGACAAGAAGCAGGATGAGGACAGAAGACAAGAGCTGTGACATCCTCTTCCATCGCCCCCTCTTCCCCCCACCCCGCCCCCCAGGCTGGCGTCCTGGGGCGTGGGACACTGAAAAGAGCTTGCGGTGTGGCTTTCTGCATTTCTGCATTTTGTCTTTCTGTTCAGTGGGGAGTTTTCAGGTGCTCTAAGGCAATGTCTACTTCTTAAGTCACCTCTGACCACGGTCGCACTCAGGAATCAGGCTGTGGAGCTACTGGTAGCTGTAAACTGACTTTCAAAGGGAGGGAAGTGGGACTTCTTTCATGTAGAAATCTCTACATACAGTCCCTGTCTGTGTCTGATCTTCTGCCACGGCTCATCTTAAAACTCAGCTTGTCTTTCCAAGTAGCCTAGACAGAACAAGTTTTTACAAGTGCAGTTGAAAGTGCATCGAGCGAAAACCAGAATTTATGTGCCTATCAGGGAGGAAATAAGGTCATTCTTAAAAGAGTAGTAATTGCCCATAATTTACTTGAAAAGTCTTTTTCTTCCCAAATTAGTGTTTCTGTGTACCACCGTGTCTCAGCGGCTCCAGTTATTCAGAATTCCTATGAACTGTACAATCTCAGAGTTTATAGCTATGAAAGGGCAAGAATGAGATGAACAGGTTGAGAAATTTGTTTAGGGTAACATAATTTATATACCTTTAAAAAGCAGTGTCCATTTTACTTTTAATTTCATTTGGTTTGTCATGTAGAAATTTGTCATTTAGAATACTTAATGGATAAGCTTCCTGAGTAAACTTTATAACTCAAATACTGTCTGGCAACCTGGAAACCAGAAATTCTTAGATTGGAATCTTGGTTTTAGACTTGAATTCGTATGTGGCCTGAGGCCGGTCACTTAGCATCTTACCTCCCTTTGTGCCATCTATGGAGGGTAAATGCTTCTGTCTAGGGATGTTGTAAGGATTAATTAGTTGGCCTGTAAAGAACTTTGAAGATGAAAAGTACTTTAAAAGTGCTTCTTAATAACATTATTGCTTAGAAAAGAGTGCCACTTTTATGCTAACCACTTTGTCTCAAATTATATTAAAGATATGTTTAGTACATTACTAGCAGATAAGTCTCTCATGGTGTGAACATCAAACATTAGCTTCAGAATTTCAAAGGAGCCTCACTTTGTCTTAGGGATCACTTAGAAGCTGTGTTCTACTCAGTAATTACTTACAAAGATCATATTTCAGGGGAAAGAAGACCCTTTCATATAATTCAGGTTTTATTTCTTTTTCCAGGCAGATTTTTTAGAATTAACTTAAAACAGTACATTGACCTTGGTTGGCACAAGGAGGGTAGAAGATGGAAATGTGTTGTATTTTGTTTTTGGTTTTGTTTTTTTGAAGAGAAAACAGAGTATTCTGTTTTCTAATGTTCTCTAATCATATTCTTTTTTTTCTTCCCACTCTCAGCCCCTCAGTCTTATCACAGGGATATGCATCTGTTGCTTTAGCCATTTTGAGAAAAGTTAGAGTAACTATGTAAACAGATCGAAAGTATATACCTTTAGGCTTGATTCAGTTTATTTACTTCTAAACAAAGTTAAAACAAAGGGCCAGTGTTTTGATCTATAATAAAACATTAGAACAACATGCAATGAAGCATTATCTAATTGGTACAAAATTCATATTCTTGGGAAGCAGAGGCGAGATTGTGTTAGTATACTTGTCAAGATGATAATGAATTGCAGAGCACAGCAAACTATTATCATAGACACATTGTATAAAGGACCCTAGAAAAGTGTGATCAAGAAGTGAAATGGGCTGGGCACAGCGCCTCACGCCTGTAATCCAGCACTCTGGGAGGCCCAGGTAGGAGGGTCCCTTGAGCTCAGGAGTTCCAGACAAGCTTGAGCGAGAGGCGATACCTAAAACAGAAAAATCAGCTGACAGCAGTGGTGCCCACCTGTAGTCTCAGCTACTTGGGAGGCTGAAGCGGAGGATCCCTTGATCCCTGGAGTTTGAGGTTGCTGTAAGCTGTGCTGACACCACTGCAATTTAACCTGAGGAACAGAGCGAGACTTTGTCTCAGGAAAAAAAAAAAAAAGAAAGAAAAGGAAATAGATTTAAAATAAAGATAAGATGTGGGATAAAATATGTCTGAAAGAGTAATTCAAATAAGGAATTGAAAGCAAAGACACCTGGAGAGTTAGGGCTCAATCAGATGGAATTTGCCCAAAGTGTGTAGTTGCTTTGTTTCCTTTCCGTGTAATAGATTCGGGTTTCAAGTTGTTCTTACTGTGGGATAGACAGTGACTTGTAGTCTACTGAGTTTAGGCTGAGTGAAGGAAAAATCAGAATTATTATATCTCTTCTCTGTGGCTTGACCTGAGGACTTAATTTTTATTCATTCCTCTGTAGAAGGTGAATGAATTGCTAAAATACTCACATACCTAACTTGTGGATGGTTTAAGTATCGTAGATGCCGCTAACCATTATGATGAATGACAGGCTTAGAGATATATTGCTTCTAGCATTTGGCTTCAGAAATATGACTTAGATCTTTTTTGAGACTCTGTCTTAAATAAAACACAAAACTGTTTCCAATGGTAAATTAAAACAATACCAATTAATGTGTCATTCTTTTTAATTTCCTTTAGCAAAACCCTTGAAGATCGTTTGAAAATTGAAGCAAAAAATGGTACATTGAGTGTATCAGACACCACTGTTGGCAGCAAACAATTGACATTCACATTAAAGAGGGTAAGTTTTTTATGTTATTTTTTAATTCACAAAAGAAAAAATAGACTTTCAGTAATGTCGTATGTGTGTTCAGCCTCAGATCCTGCCGTTCCAGCTTTTCTTCTCTTGAGTTAGCTGTGTTCCCTGTTCTAGCATCTTCCCTGCAGCCCCTCCTAGGTCGAGAGTACACGGCTTGACTAGATCACAGCCAGGAATGTTGCCGGTGTCCCAAGGGAGGCAGGGCCTTGGTGGCCCTAGAGTTGGCTCTGTTGATGGAGCAACTGTTGTGTTTCTTGGTTTACTGTGTGGCCTGAGGTACAGGGCTTTATAGCGAAAGTCCTGACCATCTAAGGATAGAAAAGAATGCCTGGCACTTCTGGACTTGGAGGAAGACCAGAAATGGGGAGCTCTAACGCCTCATGGCAGCCGTCCTCAGCTTGTCCAGACACTGCTCTCCAGGGGTCATGCAATTCTAAATTAATTCATAATATCCATTTTCTTAACCATCTGTAATACTGCCTGTTGCACATTGTCAGAGTAATAAGCTACTTAAATATTTTTCACTAACTACGAGTCAAACCACATGGTTTTATGTCACAAAAAATTTTTTCTTATTCACCGCCTGTTCTCAATATAGTCATCAAGTAGAAAAGAATGACAAAGATTTCACCTCTGATTCCTTTTTTAAACCAAGACATAATTTGCATACCATAAAATCCACACTGCTAAAGAATACAATTCAGTGGGTTTTAGTGTATTCACTAGGTGGTGACACCATCGCCTAATCCAGAACATTTCATCACCTGAAAAAATGCCCCTGTCCCTTTCCATAGTCACCCATTCCCGTTCTTCTGACCCTGGCAGCCACTAACCTATCTTCTGTCTCCATCTTTTTGTCTGTTCTGGATATTTTATATAAATGGATCACACAATATGTTTTCTTTTACAGCTGTCTGCTTTTACTTAGTGTAGTATTTTCAAGGTACTCATGGTCAGCCCTAGTTCCCTTTTATGGCTAAGTAATCCTCTAGTTTGTGGATATACTGTATTTTGCAAATCTATTCACTTGGGGTTTTTTGCTTCTTTGTTTGAGGCAGAGTCTCACTTGGCATCCTTAGTAGAGTGTGGTGCCATCACAGCTCACAGCAACCTCAAACTCTTGGGCTTAAGTGATTCTCTTGCCTCAGCCTCCTGAGTAGCTGGGACTACAGGCACCCGCCACAATGCCCAGATATTTTTAGAGACAAGGTCTTGCTCTGGCTCAGGCTGGGTTCAAACCTCTGAGCTCAGGCAATCCACCTCCCAGAGTGCCAGGATTACAGGTGTGAGCCACTGTGCTCGGCCCATATCTATTCATGTGTCAGTTAATGTTTAATTTGTGTACTTTATGACTTGACTAACAAACTTCTACTTAATAAATCTCAGTTTCACTTAAGTTTCAAATAAGTTTTATTTATTCAGGGACTTGTTTATTTATTTATAGAAATCTCTTTTTATAGTGTATGTTATACTCAGGTAAAATTTTGAGTATTTCTAATATTTTCCTATGTACCTTCTAAAATTTTAATAAACTTCACAGGAGAAAAAGGTCTATGCTTTAATATTATTTAAAATTATATGATCATAAATTGGGATTACATCCTAAGTCTGATTTCAAAATGCCATTTAATTCAATTTTTTATCGAGGCTGCTGCTGCCACCAGGGTAGTACTTTGCACCCGTCCTCCATCTCTGTGACAGGATTGTTGTAGACTGTAGTAAAAATAGCCAGGGGTGGGGACAGCAAGGAGGAGCAGGACTGACCTCCTGGGATCGCATCTGGAGAGCCCCTAGTGTTCTGCCAGCTTCGGAAGCAGGGGGAAAAGCGGGCCTAGCAGAGGTGCCCATTCCACTCCCAGCTTGTTCTGTAGCTGGTGATTAGAAGACAGTCTGCAACAAGTGAAAGAAAGGAGGCGCAGGACCAACTTGGAGAAGAGCTAATTGTCCCCAAGTTGTAATGCCCTGGTCACGTGGTGGCAGAGTCTTCCAGTGCAGCCTTTGGAGAAAAGCTCATGGTGGTGCTTTCTCCCCCTGGGGATTTGTCCGCAGAATGGCAGCTGGTGCTGACAAGCTCCTCTCTGAGCTTCTGCCTTGGTGAAGAAGGCCTGGCAGACCTTCCCAAAGTGTATGCCCGGAGATGTAAATAAAGACACTGGAGGACTGCTATGCCAGCAGACCGATAGGGAGGGAAATACCTTGGACTGACGTCCGTACTGAAGGCTTACTAACGTTTTTACCTTAAAAGCTCCTGGGCAGGCTTGGTGCCTATAGCTCAGCCACTAGGGCACCAGCCACAGACCCAACCCAGGGCTGGCGGGTTCGAACCCCGCCTGGGGCCGGTCAAACAACAATGACAACTACAACAACAACAAATAAAAAAAATAGCCGGGTGCTATGGTGGGTGCCTGTAGTCCTAGCTACTTGGAAGGCTGAGACAAGAGAATCGCTTAAGCCCAAGAGTTTGAAGTTGGGTTGCTGTGAGCTATGATACCTCAGTACTCTACCGAGGGCAACACAAAACTACTCTGTCTCAAAAAAAAAAAAAAAAAAAAAAGCTCCTGGGCACCCTTTTAATCTTCATTTAGCATATCATTTTTCCAAAATTATGTGAAGAAACACTTTTAGGGATACTGTTAACATGAAGAAACTAAATATCCCACCCCCAGTGTTTGTTCACTTCACACAGATCTTTTTTTTTTTTTTTTTGAGACAGAG